ACATTTATTATCAAATGCATGGGTTCTTATAAAATAATCCAGTTTAATATATACCCAATTTAATTAAAATTTATAAGTGGTTGTGGACTAAGCCAAGTGTATCTTAATTAAATCAGAACATGGCTCACAGACGTTAAGGTCAATCCCAATTTTAATAAAGAGGATGCAAATATAATCATTAGGGACTTGGCTGAGTAATTGTGGTCAGGTGGAAAATAAGATGAATGGAAGGCCAGCAAGATCCCCTTCTACTCAAGTTTAAAAAGAGAAATGACCCACTGAGTGCACATGCAGAAAGATGGGCTTGCCTGCTCAGTGAGCCGCTGAAATAGAGGCAGGAAATTCAGGTATGAAAAAACAGTCAGCAATCAAGTAATAAACTTACATTGGATAAGGAAGGAGGAGGCACTTTCTCTGACAGTTCACACATCATGGAAGGTTGCAGTGGGTTCTGCTACTGTCACACCAATCAGAAATGAAAACAGAACATTCTTAACAAGGCCAATGCTAAAGCCTGGAGGACTACATGAACAAGTTTGACAGATAAGATACAAAGTTTTCAGTTAAATTAGACTTTCAGATAAACAACAGATAATTTTCTGTTAAAAGTGTGTTCTATGCAACATGCCCCCTGTATTTTCTTTTCTAAATTTGGCACCTCCATGTGAACTTAGGCCTGTAACAAAAGGCTTGTCAAGGAGCTTTCTGTAATTCCAATATAAGCCACAACATTTGTTGAAGAATTATCATTAAGGGTTGACCGATGTCTTAAAATGGTAATTGCATACCTGAATTACACTGTAGTCTCATTGCCAGCGCTTGGAAGGGATGGGGAGAGACAATCTAAATTTTAACATTCGAGTCATTCCTATCTGCCTGCCTTGGAGCCCTTCTTCTGAATGTATCTCCCTCAGAGCACAGCAGGAATGCGTCAGTCACAGGGAGGTATGCTGGTCAGAAAATCAATCTAGAAATGTTTATTTCAGGTCTATTCTGTAAACAGAACTGTGCTATTAATCCAAGCACAATAGCACCTCTGCACCCCTGGAGACTCTGTGAGCAGACAAAGAAACTGAGGCCCTGGACAGTAAAGTGGCTTTTCCAAGGTTTAGCTGGGTCTCCCCAGCAGAGCTAAGACTAGTGCCCTGCTATTGTAAATCACCTTTCCATGAGTTTTTCAGTATAGAATAAAGCTTATAAGTGCTACTGAAGCTCAGGAAAAAAAAAAAACTATATTAATTTCTTTCTCTTTGGATGTTTAGGGAAAAAAATAGGTGAAGATGTCACTCATTTAACAATATTTATTCACTGTCAAGTTCATTCCCAGCACTGTTATAGATGCTGGGCCACAGACACAGGCTGCCCTGTAAGGAGATTTAGCAGATGCTCACCACAGCCTTCCTCACCTCCTGCCTGGCACAACCAGACTACATTTCCCAGCCTGCCTTGCAGCTATGTGGCCATGTGACTGAGCACTAGCCAAGGTAATATGGGTGGGAGTGATGTTAGATATTCTCAGGCCAGTTCTGTCGGAAACCTGCATTAGTCAGAGTTCCCCCAGAGAAACAAAACCAATAGGAAAGATGGAGATGAAGATAGAGAAATATGAAGGGATCTAGAGATAGAGATTGGGAGATGCAAAAAGATCTATTATAAGGTATTGGCTCATATGATTATGAAGGCAGAGAAGTCTCACCATCTGCTGTCTGCAAGCTGGAGACCCAGGAAAGCCAATGGTGTTGTCTGAAGGCTAGAGAGCAAGAGAGTGTATATTCCAGTCTAAGCCTGAAGTACTGAGAACAAGAAGCACCGAGAGAAAAAGAAGGTTGATGTCCCAGCTCAGACAGTTGGTTAGAATGGGAATTCAACTTTCCTCAGCCTTTGTGTTCTGTTCAGGCCTCCAGGGAATTGAATGATGTCCACCAACATGGGTGAAAGCAAACCACTTTACTCAGTCTATGGATTCAAATGCTCATCTTGCTGGACATTCCCTCCCAGACACACCAGAAATCAGATTCAACCAGCTACCTGGACATCCCATGGTCCAGTCAAGCAGACGCCTAAAATTACACCCGCCTTGTGAAAGGAGGCAAAAGATCCAGCAGAAAAGTCCCAGACCCCAGAGGAAGGAGGACTCACAAAATGTGTCCCTGAATCACTACCTGGAAGGCTGGGTACCAGACACTCACATAAAGCTGTCACATGAAAAGAAAACTAATCCTCTACTGTGTGAAGTGGCTGAGATATAGGAGTTGTTTGTTCCAGCAGAGAGACCACCCTGATACTCTGCCCTGGTGGAACTTAGAGAAAAGACAGGTTCTGGGCAAATACACAAAGACAGATATGATTGCAACTTGTTGTGAGTGTTTTGCAGAAACAACATGAACACAATGAAAAAGAATAGCTGAAATGAAGGAGGCTGCTCTGATATCGGTCTGAACATGGCTGATAATGAGCCAATTATAATAAGAACAGTTATAATTGTTCAGTTATAACAAGAACAGAGAATAATAGCAGATGTTACCAGAGTGTCCCCTCTGTGGAAGGCCCTGGGATAAGTGTTCATGCACTGTAACTCATTTACTTTCACAATAACCTATGCGGTAGGAATTATTATCATCTCCAATTTACAGGTAAAAGTAAAGATGCTTGAAGCCACCTAGATTATTTCATTCTCATGCTGCTATAAATAAATACCTGAAACAGGGTAATTTATTTTAAAAAAGAGAGGTCAATTAACTCACAGTTCTGCAGGTCTGGGAAAGCCTCAGGAAACTTACAATCATGGCAGAAGGGGAAATAAACATGTCCTTCTTCACATAGAAGCATGAAGAAGTGCCGAGCCTTATAAAGTCGTTGGATCTTGTGAGAACTTATTATTAGGAGAACAAAATGAAGGTCACCAACCCCATGATTCAATTACTTCCCACTGGGACCCTCCCATGACATGTGGAGATTATGGGAACTACAATTCAAGATGACATTTGGATGGGGACACAGCCAAACCATATCACCAGCATATTTCCTCATTAATTAAAGCCTGAAAGCCTGTACTATACCAACTGTTAAGTCTTTTGTTTTGCTTTTAATACTTTAAGTTCTGGGATACATGTGCAGAACATGCAGGTTTGTTACATAGGTATACACTTATGAGTGAGAACATATGGTGTTTGGTTTTCTGTTCCTATGTTAGTTTGCTGAGAATGATGGTTTCCAGTTTCGTCCATGTCCCTGCAAAGGACATGAACTCATCCTTTTTTATTATACCTGTATAGTATTCCATGGTGTACATGTGCCACATTTTCTTTATCCAATCTATAATCGATGGGCATTTGGGTTGGTTCCAAGTCTTTGCTATTGTGAACAGTACTGATATAAACATGCATGTACATGTGTCTTCATAGTAGAATGACTTATAAGCCTTTGGATGTATACCCAGTAATGGAATCACTAGGTCAAACAGCATTTCTGGTTCTAGATCCTTGAGGAATCACCACACTGTCTTCCACAATGATTGAACTAATTTACACGCCCACCAACAGTGTAAAAGCATTCCTATTTCTCCATAACCTCTCTAGCATCTGTTGTTTCCTGAATTCTTTTTTGACATGGAGTCTTGCTCTGTTGCCAGCCTGGAGTGCAGTGTCATGATCTCAGCTCACTGCAACCTCCACCTCCCAGGTTCAAGTGATTCTCCTGCCTCAGCCTCCCAAGTAGCTGGGACTACAGGTATGCGCCACCATGCCCGGCTAATTTTTAAATTTTTTAGTAGAGATGGGGTTTCACTATGTTGGCCAGGATGGTCTCAATCTGCTGACCTCGTGATCTGCCCGTCTTGGCCTCCCAAAGTGCTGGGATTATAGGCATTAGTCACTGCACCCAGCCTGTTTCCTGAATTTTTAATGATCACCATTCTAAATGGCATGAGATGGTATCTCAATGTGGTTTTGATTTGCATTTCTCTAATGACCAGTGATGATGAGCTTTTTTTCATATATGTGTTGGCCACATAAATGTCTTCTTTTGAGAAGTGTCTATTCATATCCTTTGCACACTTTTTGATGAGATTGTGTTTTTTTTCTTGTCATTTTGTTTAAGTTCTTTGTAGATTCTGGATATTAGCCCTTTGTCAGATAGATAGATTGCAAACATATTCTACAATTTGGTAGGCTGCCTGTTCACTCTGATGATAGGTTTTTTGCTGTGCAGAAGCTCTTTAGTTTACTTAGATCCCATTTGTCAATTTTGGCTTTTGCTGCCATTGCTGTTGGTGTTTTAGTCACGAAGTCCTTGCCCATGCTGAATGGTATTGCCTAGGTTTTCTTCTAGGGTTTTTATGGGTTTAGGTCTTATGTCTACGTTTTTAATTCATCTTGAGTTATTTTTTGTATAAGGTGTAAAGAAGGGGTCCAGTTTCAGTTTCTTGCATATGGCTAGCCAGTTTTTCCAACACCATTTATTAAATAGGGAATCCTTTCCCCATTGCTTTTTTTGTCAAGTTTATCAAAGATCAGATGGTTGTACATCTGTGGCATTATTTTTAGGGCCTCTGTTCCATTCCATTGGTCTATATCTCTGTTTTGTTATGAGTACCATGCTGTTTTGGTTACTGTAGCCTTGTAGTATAGTTTGAAGTCAGGTAGCATGATACCTCCAGCCTTGTTTTTTTGCTTAGGATTATCCTGGCTATATGAGCTCTTTTTTGGTTCCATATGAAATTTAAAGTAGTTTGTTCTAATTCTGTGAAGAAAGTCAGTGGCAGCTTGATGGGGATTGTGTTGAATCTATAAATTACTTTGGCAGTATGGCCATTTTCACAATATTGATTCTTTCTATCCATGAGTATGGAATTATTTTCCATTTGTTTGTGTCTTCCCTTATTTCCGTGAGCAGTGGTTTGTAGTTCTTCTTGAAGAAGTCTTTCACATCCCTTGTAAGTTGTACTCCTAGGTATTTTATTTTCTTTGTAGCAATTGTGAATGGGAGTTCACTCATAATTTGGCTGTTTATCTGTTATTGGTGTATAGGAATGGTTGTAATTTTTTCACATTGATTTTGTATCCTGAGACTTTGCTGAAGTTGCCTATCAGCATAAGGAGATTTTAGGCTGAAACAGTGGGATTTTCTAAATAAACAATCATGTCGTTTGCAAACAGAGACAATTTGACTTCCTCTTTTCCTAATTGAATACTCTTTATTTCTTTTTTTGCCTGATTGCCCTGGCCAGAACTTCCAACACTATGCGGAATAGGAGTGGTGAGAGAGTAAATCTTTGTCGTGTGCTGGTTTTCAAAGGGAATGCTTCCAGCTTTTGCCCATTAAGTATGACATTGGCTGTGGGTTTATCATAAATTGCTCTCATTATTTTGAAATTGGTTCCATCAATACTTAGTTTACTGAGAGTTTTTAGCATGAAGGGGTGTTGAATTTTATCAAAGGTGTTTTCTGCATCTATTGAGATAATCATGTGGTTTTTGTCATTGGTTCTGTTTATGTGATGGATTACATTTATTGATTTGTGTATGTTGAACCAGCCCTGCATCCCAGAGATGAAGCCAACTTGATTGTTGTGGATAAGCTTTTTGATGTGCTGCTGGATTCAGTTTGCCAGTATTTTATTGAGGATTTTCGCATCAATGTTCATCAGGGATATTGGCCTGAGATTTTCTTTTTTTGTTGTGTCTCTGCCAGGTTTTTGTATCAGAATGATGCTGGCCTCATGAGTTAGGGAGGAGATCCTCTTTTACTATTGTTTGGAATAGTTCACAAAGAATGGTACTAGCTACTCTTTGTATGTCTGGTAGAATTCGACTGTGGATCCATCTGGTCCTGGGCTTTGTTTTTCTTTTTTGGTTAGTAGGCTATTAATTACTGCCTCAATTCCAGAACTTGTTTTTAGTCTATTTAGGGATTCGACTTCTTCATGGTTTAATCTTGGGAGGATGTATGTGTCCAGAAATTTACCCATTTCTTTTAGATTTTCTAGTTTATTTGCATAGAGGTGTTTGTGGTATACTCTGATAGTAGTTTGTATTTCTGTGGGATCAGTGGTGAGTGGTGATATCCTCTTTATTTTTTTTTTTGTTGTTGTATCTACTTGATTCTTCTCTCTTTTATTCTAAGGGGTAGCTGTGGGCACAGCTTCAACAGACTTAAATGTTCTTGCCTGCCTGTTCTGAAAAGAGCAGCAGATCTCCCAGCACAGTGCTGGAGCTCCACTAAGGGACAGACTGCCTCCTCATGTGAGTCTCTGACCCCAGTGCCTCCTGACTGAGAGACATCTCCCAGCAGGGGTTGACAGACACCTCATACAGGAGAGCTCCAGCTGGCATCTGGCAAGTGCCACTCTGGGACAAAGCTTCCAGAAAAGGAAACAAGCATCAATCTTCACTGTTCTGCAGCCTCCACTGGTGATACCCAGCAAATAGGGTCTGGAGTGGACCTACAGCAAATTCCAGCAGACCTGTAGCACAGGGTCCTGACAGTTAGAAGGAAAACTAACAAACAGAAAGCAATAGCATCAACATCAACAAAAAGAATGTCCCCACAAACACCCTATCCAATGGTCACCAACATCAAAGACCAAAGGTAGACAAATCCACAACAATGATGAAAAACCAGCACTAAATGGCTGAAAATTCCAAAACTCAGAACACGTCTTCTCCTACAAAGAATCACAACTCCTTGCCAGCAAGGAAACAAAACTGGACAGAGAATGAGTTTGATGAATTGACAGAAGAAGGCTTCAGAAGGTGGGTAATAACAAAGTCTTCTGAGCTAAAAGAACATGTTCTAACCCAATGCAAGGAAGTTAAGAGCCTTGAAAAAAGGGTAGAGAAATTGCTAACTAGTATAACCAGATTAGAAAAGAACATAAATGACCTGATGGAGCTGCAAAACACAGCATGAGAACTTTGTGAAGCATACACAAGTATCAATAGCCAAATTGATCAAGTGAAAGAAAGGATATCAAAGATTGAAGATCAACTTAATAAAATAAAGCATGAAGACAAGATTAGATAAAAAAAGAATGAAAAGAAATTAACAAAGCCTCCAAGAAGTATGGGACTATGTGAAAAGACCAAACCTATGTTTGATTGGTGTGCCTGAAAGAGACAGGGAGAATGGAACCAAGTTGAAAAACACTCTTTAGGATATTATCCAGGAGAACTTCCCCAACCTAGCAAGATAGGCCCACATTCAAATTCAGGAAATACAGAAACCACCACAAAGATACTCCTTGAGATGAGCAACTCCAAGACATAAAATCGTCAGATTCACCAGGCTCGAAATGAAGAAAAAAATGTTAAGGGTAGCCAGAGAGAAAGGTCAGATTACCCACAAAGGGAAGCCCATCAGACTCACAGCGGATCTCTCTGCAGAAACCCTTCAAGCCAGAAGAGGATGGGGGCCAAAATTCAACATTCTTAAAGAGAAGAATTTTCAGTCCAGAATTTCATATCCAGCCAAACTAAGCTTCATAAGTAAGGAGAAATAAAATCTTTTACAGACAAGCAAATGCTGAGAGATTTTGTCACCACCAGGCCTGACTTAGAAGAGTTTCTGAAGGAAGCACTAAATATGAAAAGGAAAAACCAGTACCAGCCACATCAAAAACATACCTAATTGTAAAGACCATCAACATTCTGAAGAAACAGCATCAACTAAAGGGCAAAATAATCAGCTAACACCATAATGGCAGGATCAAATTCACACATAATAATATTAAAACTAATCGTGTATGGGCTAAATGCCCCAATTAAAAGACACGGACTGGCAAATTGATAAAGAATCAAGACCCATCAGTGTGCTGTATTAAGGAGACCCATATCACCCATACCCTTAACATTTTTTTCCTTCATTTCAACCCTGGTGAATCTGACAATTATGTGTCTTGGGGCTGCTCTTCTTGAGGAGTATCTTTGTGGTGTCCTCCATATTTCCTGAGTTTGGATGTTGGCCATTCTTGCTAGGTTGAGGAAGTTCTCCTGGATAATATCTTGAAGAGTGTTTTCCAGCTTGGTTCCATTCTCCCTGTCACTTTCAGGTGCATAGGACAGTGTCCCTCACAACAAAGAATTATCAAAATAAAGAGATAGAGGAATATTTACCAAGCAAATGGAAAACAATAGAAAAACCGAGGTTTTAATCCTAGTCTCTGATAAAACAGACTTTAAACCAACAAAGTTCAAAAATAAAAAAAAGAAGGACATTACATAATGGTAAAGAAATTAATGCAACAAGAAGAGCTTACTGTCCTAAATATATATGCACCCTATACAGGAGCACCCAGATTCATAAAGCAAGTTCTTAGAGATCTATAAAGAAACTTAGACTCCCACACAATAACACTGGGAGATTTTAACACCCGACTGTCAACATTAGACAGATCGATGAGACAGAAAGTTAACAAGGATATCCAGGACTTGAACTCAGCTCTGGACCAAGTGGACCTAATAAACATCTATAGAACTCCCCACCCCAAATCAACAGAATATACATTCTTCTCAGCACCACATCACACTTATTCTAAAATTGGCCACATAATTGGAAGTAAAATACTCCTCAGCAAATGCAAAAGAACAGAAATCATAACAGTCTCTCAGACCTCAGTACAATCAAATTAGAATTCAGGATTGAGAAACTCACTCAAAACTGCACTACATGGAAACTGAACAACCTGATTTTGAATGACTACTGGGTAAATAACAAAATTAAGGCAGAAATAAATAAGTTCTTTGAAACCAATAAAACAAAGACACAACATACCAGAATCTATGGGACCTAGCTACAGCAGTGTTTAGGAGGACATTTATAGCACTAAATGCCCACAGTAGAAAGCAGGAAAGGTCTAAAGTTGACACCCTAACATCAAAATTAAAAGAACTAGAGAAGCAAGAGCAAACAAATTCAAAAGCTAGCAGAAGACAAGAAATAACTAAGATCAGAGCAGAACTGAAGGAAATAGAAACATGAAAAACCCTTCAAAAAAATCAGTGAATCCAGGAGCTGGCTTTTTTGAAAAGATTAGCAAAATACATAGATAGACCACTAGCCAGACTAATAAACTGTTAAGTCTTTTTAACGTTGCCATTGGTTTGTGGGATGGGTGTTGGGGAGTATTTCAGATAGAGCAGTGGTTCTGAATCAAGGGTGATTTTACCATGCAGGAGACATTTGGCAATGTTTGAAGACATTTTTGTTGCCACTACTTCTGATGAGTGTATGCTATCGACATCTGGTTGGTAGAAGCCAGGGATGCTGCCACCATTCTATAATGCATAGCACAGTGTCCCTCACAACAAAGAATTATCTAGCCCCAAATGTCAATAGTGTTAAGGCTGAGAAACCCCAGGGGAGAGAAAAAAGTATGTGCAATGCCCCCTATTAGTCAATTTTGTCTTGCTATAAAGGAATATCTAAGACTAATTTATTTTTTTTAAAAAAAGAGATTTATTGGGATCTTGGTTCTACAGACTGTACAAGCATGGCATCTGCATCTGCTTGACTTCTGAAACCTCAGGAAGCTTGCAACTATAGCAGAGGATGAAGGTGGAGTCGGCATGTCACATGGCAAGAAGAGGGAGCAAGAAAGAGAGGAGCATGTTCTAGGCTCTGTTAAACAACCAGGTCTCACATGAACTAACAGAATAAGAACTCATTCATTACTATGAGAAGGTCACTAAGCCATCCATGAATTATCTACCCCCATGACCGAAACACCTCCCACCAGGCGTATCTCCAACACTGGAGATAACATTTCAACATGAGATTTGGAGGGGACAAAATATCCAATCATATCATCCCATAAGATGGCAAAGCCCCAGTGTGGCTGGCATTAGTGTACATCAGATGGAATGGCACAAGATGATGTTAGCAAGGTAGGCAGGGGCCAGAGCACACAGAGGAACCCTTGTAAGATATAGCAGCAGTTGGGATTTTACTTCAAATGTAGGAGGAAGCATAATGGACCATTGATAACTACTATAGAAAACAGAATGGAGAAGGAGTCAAAAGATACAAAGCTGCTTTGTGGACCACTGAGATATGAAGAAGGTTGGAACAAAATGTGATGGCAGAGGTAGAGAAAAGTGGATGGATAGGAACTTTAATTTGGAGCTGGAAATGGCAGAATGTGTTGATGGCTTGCATGGGATGGCAAGCTGGGGAAGAAGGAGGAGGAAGGGATGAGGCCCCAGGCTCTGGCTTCAACAACTGGGTGAGTGGGGGTGTCATTTACTGAGAGTGAAAAGAGGGAAAAAATTGGGAGGGACAAGACAATTCTGAAATGCCTGTGAGCCAGCACATAGATATGTCAAGGAGATCGTCGAATGTGGGGGTCTTGGTTTCACATAAAATATATGGGCTGAAGATGTATGTGGGAGGATGAGGATATACCAGCTCTCTCAGAGATACAGAGAGAGAGAGAGAGAAAGGGGACCCAAGATGAGCCCTACGGCCCTCAAATATTTACAGTTAGAACAGGAGGATCTAGCAATGGAAAAAAGGAAAGACCAGATCAGAAGAAAATGTGAATTGTGATTATCTGGAAGAGTGAATGTCTTCCAGAAGAAGAGAGTCATCATCTACCTCAAACATAGTGAGAAGTCAAATAAAACACAATATTCAGGCCATTAGTGACCTTGAAGAGTGCAGTCTAAAACAAAGCTCAGGGTACAAGTCAGATTCCCAGGGCCTGAGATAGTAAGCAGAGACAATATGTGCACAGAATTCTTTTGAGAATTGAGAATTTTTTTGCTGTGAAATGGAGCAAAACAATTGGGTAATAGCTGGAGCCAGCAAGAGTCAAGGAAGACTCAACAGGATGGGAAAACCACTGCCTGTTTGTAAACTATGAAAACTGATATAGCAGAGAAAAACCGATGATGCAGGAGGGGGAAGGAACAAGAAGGAGTTACATCCTTGAAAAGACACCTGGAGTAGTGGCCTCCAGAAAACACAAGCCTGGAGCAAGAGAAAGGAGAGTATTATCCTTCCAGTGCAGATGGGTTCCCAGGTTTGATGCTGCTAAATGAAGATGTGTCCATCTGACTCCTATTTTCACAGCTACCTGACACCTGGTTTAAGAAGGACAAAAAGGAATAGGGTGCTGGGAAAAATACTGAGGTATAAAATAGTTATCACAAAGAATGGAGAGCAAATATCCTGTGATTTGTGAGGGGAATAGGTTTGGTGAGCAGTGTTGAAAACTCATGAGAAGTTTGAGACCATAAGTTTGAAGTGAAGACCAGCCAACTTGCCTGAAGTCCTACACCATTATTTTATGGCTCAGACGCAGATCTAGACAAAGCAAGAGCTGCTTGTTTCCAAGGTGTTATTAGTGCTGCAGGTTCTCCAGTGCACGCCCAGATCCCTTGAGGATGTGGCACTCACTCTCCCACTGACCAGAGCACTGCCTGCTGAAGGCTCATATCTGAGTCCCAACTATGGGAACTGCCCATGACTGAAGGGAGCTGTTCCCTGTGGTCACAACTGATCAGGAAAAGGAGAAAAGACTTCTTTGCCTCCATGAAGAGACACTCAGGGCAATACAGGGTTCAGGCTGTAATCCGTCAGTGTGAAGACAGCCACACTTTCTCGAAGAAAGAAAAAAGGGGCAAGTCATCCATTTTATTGACTAACGTTTGGAGTAGTTTTCTGTTCACTGCAAAATTGAACATAAAGTACAGAGTTCCCATATGCCCCTGGCATCCTTCCACACACAGCCTCCCCCACTATCAACATCAGGCACTAGAATGGTGCTTTTGTTACAATAATAAACCTACATTTGATGTCATTATCACCCAAAGTCTATAGTTTACATTAGGATTCGCTCTTGGTCTTGTACTTTCTATGGGTTTTGTATAATGACATCTATCCCCCATTAGAGTATCATGTGTAGTCGTTTATGACCGCATATGGGGGAGGCATGAGAATATGCCAGCTCTCCCAGGGACAGAGAGAGAAAGGGGATGTCAGATGAGCTCTATGGCCCTCGAACATTTACAGTTAAGGAGGACAGAAGTTTACTAGTAAATTAGTGAGTATGATACTCCATTGTTGCATATGATAGTCTATTACTGTATTATGCAGTTTATTACTGCATATGATACTCTGTGACATCCAATTTTCATGGGTTACTATATTCATCTGCTAGGTCACCCATAACAAATTACCACAAACTTCATGGCTTAAAGCAGCAGAAATTTATTCTCTCACAGTTCTAGAGGCCATCAAAAATCAAGGTATTGGGAAGATCACTATCCTTCCCAAAGCTCTGGGGAAGAATCTGCCCCTTGTGTCTTCCAGTGTCTGGTGGCCACTGGTATCCTCTGTATTCTTTGGCTTGAAGACACAATCTCTGCTTCCATCTTCTCACCACCTTCTCCTCCATGGCTGCTTCTTTTTTGTGTGTGTCTCTTATTAGCACCCACCCAGATATAAAGATCCACCAGATAGCCCAGATAAATATCTCAACATTCTTATTTGCACCTGCAAAGACCCTTTCTTTAAATAAGGTCATATTCACCAGATTCCAAGGATGAAGACATGGACATGGTTTCTTTTAAAGGCCTCTCTTCAACCTACTACCGTTACTCAGAGGTGGGGCAGAGCTGGACAGAAATATCTCTGGCCTTCTCCACAAGTGGAGAGAGATATTTGTACTACTAGATGCTGGGCATGGGCAAGAACAGAGGCCATGCTGGGCTCTGTTAATAATGATGGGTGAGGAGGGGAGACAGGGATGGATGATGATAAATTACCTAATGGGTACAACGTGCATTATTTGGGTGATGGATACCCTAAAAGCCCTGACGTCATCACTATGCAATCAATGCATGTAACAAAATTGCACTTGCATCCCATATGTACCCCATCCCCATTTTTTAAATAAATCAATTTAAAAAATAAAAATGTATTTTAAAATATGATGATGAAGCTGGCGAGGAGTGCAGTGGCCTTATTTTGATCAATACCTGAGAATTAAGATTAGCTCCATCACACTCAGCCCTTCAGTGCCATTCTGTGACTTGTGCTAAACCTAACTGCCCGAGAACAAATGAACCACAACCAAACTCAGAGCAGACCCAGCTGTTCCAGTAATTTTGTGCCATCACCAGCACAAGAACTTCAACGACAAGAGGAGGAGAAAAATCTTCTTGCTTTCCTGTGACATTTTTTATTATTTTTTTTTTCAAGATGAAATCTTGCTCTGTTGCCCAGGCTGGAGTGCAATGGCATGATCTCGGCTCACTGCATCCTCTGCCTCCCAGGTTTAAGCAATTTTCCTGCATCATCCTATCAGATAGCTGGGATTACAGGCATCCACCACCAAGCCCAGTTAATTTTTTTTATTTTTAGTAGAGAAGGGGTTTCACCATGTTGGTCAGGCTGGCCTTGAACTCCTGACCTCAAGTGATCTACCTGCCGCAGCCTCCCAAAGTGCTGAGTTTACAAGCATGAACCACTGCACTTGGCCTCCTGTGATATTTAAGCTGTCAGTGAGAAAGACTTCTGCTCTGCCGTGAAAGGTTCAACTGTTTTAATTTAAAGCTACATGTCATTTGATTTTTATTTTTTATTCATACATCATCAACATTCATGTTTTCAAGTATATGTGATAATGTAATATATTCATATAATCTGTAAAGATCAAATCAGTGTTATTGGTATATCCATAACCTCAAATATTT